GTGCAAGGAAAAAGATAGATCTCGTGATCCAGCGAGTGGCGGTGGCCTGTACAGTCATGTATGTGGCGAAAGGGTAGCTACAGTACTAGCAAGTAAGCTGGAGGATCATCATGACATCACGGGAGAGCGTCTTTTGTTCAAAGGGCGTGCAGCATGCTTCCACATTAGATGACTCTAAGGATGACAAAAACATCGAAACCAGGTCGTCACACATCGATATCATCAGTTCATTCCAACTCGCATCAGACGACTAAACACTGAGGATGGTGATTCACATACTTTCTTTTGGCGATCCAGTATAGTCTGGCTCTGATACAATGGAGCAAGTAGCTTTGCATATAATGACAAAAGGTATATCAAACTAGTCTTCATTCTGACCGAAAACATTGAGCCTCCGAACAACCACAACCGGAAGGAGGTAATTTATGCTAGCTGTCATTTTTAACTGGCCTGTCTCCAGACAACTACTTTGCGCGAACTAATTATCCGTCCACGTGTATGAGGAAGTTTTTTCTATCAAACTGTGAGGCACCCTCGCGTTACCTACATTGGCCGTTCCCGTTAAGTATGTGGAAAACGGCAAATAGTAGGTCATCGTATGGTGAATAGAGTAATCTACTACAACAAAGATCCTCTCGAAGAGGAGGAACTTGTGTGGATAGGTTGTCAGCACGCCTCGCTTTACGGGCAGACCTCTTTCTATGGCGGAACAAAAATGAAAACGCAGCAATTGGATCGGAAACTGAGCTAGGTTTGTAGAAGTGCCCATCATTTTTAACGTGAACACGTCCCGGTTGCATGACTTTGCTTACCACTTGAAATATCATCCGTTGATGGTTCAAAGTCGAAATCCGTTCTGAGTGAACTACAATATGCCTGGCTAGTATGAGGACTTAAAGGTGTTTGATCATGGCAACACACGGAGTTAGCAACAGCTGAGCATCGCTGTGGGAACTTACGGAAGAGGGATAACGAACCAGCATACAGATTCAACCCCCTACTGGGATTCGAAACGTTCTCCTGGCCTTTTTCAATACGGCAAAGAGTGTGCGAGTCTACGTGTATCTCAATGAACACACGAAGCTGTTAACGACGCACATGGGTCGATAGTTGTCCACCTGCAAATGGTCGCTATGTAGACAAATCCCAGCCATACAATTCCTGGTTATTCTCTTCGTCACTGAGACGTTGGATCGTACAGTAAACTCCTCGGAAGTGTTTCATGGAGCTATGTTGTTTCATCACGATGTGCAGCAGCTTAGATTCTGTCCTCATTTTTACGTATTCCGGAACCACCACGGTCGGACTGAAGGCACTGACTTCCGCTTCTCGATACAATACCCTCCTCTGAGGAAACGTTCTTCCAGAACCGAACAGATAACATTGTTTGGTCTAAATGAAGGACTTACTTACTCTGTCAAAACTCGTTGACAAATTATCACACTGGACAGAAAGCCCTAGGATGAACTGATAAACTAACCAATTCCATCAGTTAATTCCTGACTGAACTTCACTCAGCCGCTTACCTAGTATTGGATACCAACAGAACATCTGTTAAGCATCTGTTTGGAGGCGACAAAAATAATGGACAGAATGAAGCAATGCAGGAGAAACAGATTATACTTGAGTTCCGATAATTTGCAGCTTTTATAGAAGAATGCATCTTCGCGACTCACTAACTCGTCTGATGGGTCTTACTCGAGTTCAGATAGATAGGCAAATGGTGGTGACCAATAAGGTTCATCGCCCCGCGCTAGCACGTGCCAATCACGGACAAGCTAGATAACAATAACTAGAGCATTTATTTCATACGAAGTGAAAAACCCTGCATGAACCTCAAGCAACCTGTTTAGTGACCCCGAGCAGAAACCATGCGAAAAGATTCTTTGTTGGTTGACCTCTTAAGAGGAATCTCCCGGTATTTTGTTGAGAGAATGCTCAAGCGCTGCTTCGTTTTTTCAAACGTTCCATTCGAGCACGCAGTTAGAAAATTCCTAGCTTGTCAAAACGGAGATTTTCAAAGTTTGCCCTCAACTTTCATCATATTTTCATTATCGCTGCCAGTCACGGTATTGGGCAACGTGTTTTAGCCGTAAACCGACCTTGTCACTACACAAATATTCAAATAGGTCGTATGTCCACATCCGTTTTCAGGGCAGTCTGGCAACCAACTAATCGAGAGGGGAACAATGATGTGAATGACCACGTGGCGCGAAAGAGATGTTGCCACTTGAGTAGTACTTTTATTACCTTATGTTTGAAGAAGAACAAAACGGACGAATCGTTAAATGTAGTCATATGGGAATCGGCCAAAAATCGTCCATTTGGTTTATCTACACCAGAAGTCGAATTCCAATCTCCATTTCACATACCATGCAAATAGCATCATTGAACACCACTGTGAGATAAGACCCACCGTTGACTTTACATGGTACTTTATGCGCATTCTGACCAGCAAGGGCTCCTTCATGCTTGTGTGCTTCAAATGCAAAGGGCCTGAAGTAATGAGTGGCGGGCCTGATCTTCACATACAGAGTGAGGGTGCTCTTTTGTATCAGAGACACTAGCTGTTCAGCTGTTTACGGCCCCCAGCAACTTCCGCTTCATGTCATCGTATGGAACTTGTGGTAGCCCAGGCTACTCCATTCCAGAGATCAAGCAACTTTCGTTGAAACGTATGAGCTGCTTATTCCTGCATCACTGTGCGCGAGTTTAATTGTTCCACCAATCAATAGCAACGAATATTAACTTCTCAAATGACTCAACCTAGCTATTACGTCACTCGTACCAACAGCACAGCTTATCAGAGCAAAATACGACCGGGAACATTGAAATCGATGTTGGAAGATTACTGGTTGAAACCGAGCTCAGTGCCTGTTAAGTGCAGGTCAGGGAGGTCCGTTGACTGGATCAATGAACTGTGGATTAATTGTGTTCCGCAATGCTTCCGCATGCAACATGACATTTTAAGTCGGTGTACATAAAATCAAAGTTGGTGATAAACTAAAAGAGCTGTTCGAGTGAAATATGTTGAGATCTTTCATGTTCTCTGTTGAACAGGAGTGGAGAAGACTGAAGAAAATGCATAGCTCATTAGGGCCAACCACAATTCACCATACGACCTCATTTATGAGATCAACTTTCCAGTTGGACGACTTCGGTAACGAAGTGTTTGCGCCACGATGCTTGAATACTAGGCAGAGTTAGTAATGAGTATCTTGTAGCAGTGTTGCTGTTATCATTAGCTAGCAAGCAGTTCGGGGAACAATTTAGTAAAGGGAACCCTCAGCGTGTAAAACAATTAGGCAATTATGTCGGAGTGAATATCGGGCTAGTACTGTGATCTGGCTGAAGCAAGATGAGAACTATGTCACGGTAATCTACGAATATTGGTGAGGAGTATACTTCAAATATATTCTCGTGTTGAAGAGAAAGGGACAGTATGAAGTGACTTTGAGTTACGAAGCCGTACAATGATTTCGCATCGCCATTTCACGCCAGTCCCCCTCCCGTCCTGGCGCACTGTCCCACTCTGGTGTGGACTCACCAGAATAATCACGACAGGACATGGGGAGGACAAACAACTCGTCTTTCACGTTCCTATTAAAATTGACCGGTGAAGGTGCGGACGTAACAAAGCTGAACGCTACATATGAACGACACATCTATGTCTGGGCAATGCAAGAAAGTTGCAGTTTACTGACAGATCTGCCCCCGCAGCGGGCATAAAAGACCGAGGACTTCCATGTTTAGTGTGCGAAAAGAAAGCCTCAATATGTGCAACCCAAGATCCAAAGCTCATGCGACCTCAGGAGCAAAGAAACGAAAGCCCGAATGTTACCTTGATGAGAGGACAGGACAACCTGAGTCCACCGAACTGCTCAACAAACTGCAAAGCATGTTGGGTGTGGCGAGTCAAAACCAGTCGGAACCAAACTTAGCAACACGAGCCCGAGTACCACACTTTCCCAGGACGAGTTTTCCACGATCGCCTTTGTTAACCCTGTATTACGCCGACTGATCAGATCACCCAAGTTAGAGTCGCGGCAACGATGCACTTTCCCAGGACGAGTTTTCCACGATCGCCTTTGTTAACCCTTGTATTACGCGACTGATCAGATCACCCAAGTTAGAGTCGCGGCAACGATGCCACGACAACCTAAACAGTCAGCTATACGAAAGAAGAAAGCAGAAATGTTCCGGGAAATGCAGCTCAACACAAATGAAACGAGAGACTGAGGCGGTCTACAAACGCAATAAGCTATCATCTCCACAAGGAAACTGTGACTTCTCTGAATAGGCTAGATGGATACTCGGTAAGCCTAGCAAAACATGACGAACGCCAAGTTCTTTGTTTCGTGTCCGATTCATGTACAGATTTGAGTGAATGACAAAATTTATCCACAGAAAAAGGCTAAGCGTCGGCCAGTGAATTTGTCTTGGGCAATTCCAAATTTATGTTACCTCGTCGAGCTACCTAGCATTTTCAGTCGTAGGGGTTTAGACAGATAATCCACCAGAAAAATGACGAGGCTTTTTACCTTAGAAAAACGGACTGTCTCCTTGAGTAAATAAGTTGAAATCAGCGTGTCGGAAAAAAGGCAGTGTGCTTGAATATAACAGAACGACTCAGCAGGTGGAACAGAGACCCAGCGCACGAATGGAGCTTTTTCAACCGATTGATCCCGGACGTAAACCGTTGAGTGCAACACAATGACCTCTAGAAAATGGGCCTTTTGTTGGCACAGAACGGGACAACCCTCAGAACACTTACCGTGTGATAAAACTCCGTAATATCTCCTAAAACTGACTGCCTGGAGTTGTGTCGTCTGCATTCTTCCTGAGCTGATAGCGAAGTGTCGTGTAGCACGCGATAGACCCGGGTGCATACGCCACATAGACCACTTGGGCCATTGGCCGGAGTGAGATCCCGACGTAATTCCATCATAATTGGTGATCGAATCTCACCCTTCGGTGTGAATCCAGCAGGTGCGAAAGGCTCTGGTCGGTCGTGCCACACATTTTCACGTTTTGTTCGCATTAAGACATAATCGTGGGCCAATAATTGAGGAATCCAGTTCAACAGTGTCACCACGACGATATATAATGGTGGTATGGGCATCGCAATATTCTGGAGAGGGTTGGTCGCACAATCAACCGACGGATAGATCCCTATTCATTCATTTCTCGACTGAAGGGAACTCCACAGGACGGATGCCCGGCAGACTGAGGGACGAAGTGCCCAATGCCGGGCCTCGGCTGTCGTATGCATAGCGCGCACGCGCGTGCGTTCAGTCTGAGCAATTAGCCGCGTTCTGATTGGTGGATGCGATAAGCCAATCGCAGAACTGTACAGCAGCTATTGCGGCTCGTCGGACGGCGCAAGAGTACGCATGCTTTCACGTCACTTCTAGCTTGATTCCTTAGCCCTGGAAGACGAAAACGAAAGCTGCCAAGTCAAGGGCAGTTGGGTCTCACGTCACCCTTGGCTTTAGAAACTAACGTGGTCTATTTCGCACGCAGCCTGTCGAGACAACTCGGCTGCTTTTGAAGATTCTCAGCTATTTGGTCATCAATAGATTCTCATCTTAGTGGAGACTGCATAAGTCGTCTGGTTCACACAGGTGACCGTAAATCGATTAACTCCGCTGAAAACTGAGTTCGTAGAGAAACCACATTGCTCACTGAGTGTGTTGGCGACACCTGGACGAGCTGTTTAGGTCATCTCTGGTTCTCCTCCTAGCAGTCGACCTGTTATCTGAAGGCTGGTACACTTCTCGTCAACCAATTCGTAAGTTACACTCCGCTCATACACTTATCTTGACGATTTCTTGATGGACAAAAGAGCCGTTGATTGTACAAACTGCGGAAGTAAGATAATGAAAGAACAATTTCATGCAGCCTCTCCTGAAACTAACCATCATAGTAGCAAACAAAAAATCTTCATCAAACCGATCAGAACACTGCTGTTTAGGCAATGTAGCAAAGCAGTTATAAAGGGCTTGCCGAGCTGATTGTGTCCCTCAGATCAAGCAGTTATCCCCAAACAGTTCTGCCTGGTTTTCCGCAATTTCACTAGGATAGATGATTGCCTGACATAGTTATCTCACAAGTAATAGTGACCGAACTAATAATGCCTAATGCACAGAAAGCCTTTAAAACTAGGACAGATGGTTTTTTGCACAACATTTTTTGTTGCATTCTTCAGGGTCGGTCTGCTAAGATTGCTTCCTCCATGGACTTGATCACATTTTGGAAAGGTTTTCTTTTGGATGTTACCTTTGTTGTCACCAGCTCTTCAGACTTGTACAGATGGGCAGGAGTGATGTGTCACATCGTGGCCACGTAGCCCCTGAGAATTGACTAAAATCAGTATCAAAGCATAAAGAATCAATGGCTTCACGTCTATCAGTAATGCCTGTATGAACCTGCCTGTATGAACCCCTTCGTTTGACCAAATCTGTGGTGAAAGACGTCATTTCTAAAGTTCACTTAGGACATGTGTTCACCTTTGTTGATAAACATATTGTTTACTTTTCGTATGAACAGCTAGGCGGTCGGTGACTTCCACTATGTTCCAGTCATGTAGCTACTAGCGTTGCAGCTTGTGTAAGGCAGTTGTCCATCCAAACCAAGAATTAAATGTCTGGAGTGTATTGGTACTCACGCTTCCACTATGTTCCAGTCATGTAGCTACTTGCGTTGCAGCTTGTGTAAGGCAGCTGTCCATCCAAACCAAGAATTATATGTCTGGAGTGTATTGGTACTCACATGACTCCCCCATAGATCACTCTGCTAGAGAGGCCTATTACGGGACCTGAATGCTGCGCGTAGTAGAGTATCACGCTTCCAGAAATTCTTTTCCGTGTCTCACATCTCCGTATACTAAGATCTTCGCATTTTCCAGACTGAATTTTTGACCGTCTTGGTAGTTGTGTATGAATATCTGGGATAAGGGCCCATATCTCCTTGCGGCCACGTTGTGTCCCTTTATTCGTGTGCATATTTTCAGCCCGGTTTGTCCACTGCTAAACTTGTTGTAGTTGTTGCAGTTGGTTTATTACAACTTTCGGCCTTCCAGGCTTGAGGTCAGTTTCTTTAGAGTTGCATTCGGTTTGTGGGTTATGAGTATTCCTTTTTGAGTTAATACTATACCTGTAACTTCAAATATTTACTTGATATACGCTAGGACTCACCGTCCGATAGCTTGTTCTTGCCGTTGCTGTTTTTCACATGTCTTCTCCGAGCTTGCCCTGGTGAAATTCCTTGGATATCCATTGTTCTGGAATACTCCAAGTAGATAGTTTTCCTCCTTTTTTCTTGGTTCTATGCTGGTACAATGTGTTTCTGTCCTCGTGAACAGTGTTTGAAGGCAGCTCTTTCTTGTGGTTACTTGGATGATTGCCATCATAGTCCAGTGTTTGATCTGTACGCGTCTCTTTATGGTATACGCAGGTTTCCACAGTCCAATTCACTCTTCTGTTCAGTGAAACACCAAAAATTGTGATCCGTTGTTCCTCTGCAGTTCGATTAGGCCGGTTATTCGCACTCTGATTTCCCTTTCCTTGCACCAAAGGTGATGTATCAGGAGGGAACAACCTCCAAATGTGGATGACCGAGAGACTAGTTTACTAGAAGGAAAATTAAAGCAAGCTTAATCTGAGAGATTCATACTTCTAGAACAAGGGACGTGAAGCCCAAATGGATCATATTTGATGTTGCAAGCAGATGATGACCGCTCACTTAGCTGCACTCAATCCCTGAAGGAAGCCTAGCTGAAATGAGTAAATTGGTCCAGATGACTCTAGTGTGCTTGGTTTTGGTGTGATGGAAAATTCTACCTTCATCACGCGAACAGTTTATGGAATGTGTGCTACTATTTGTGATAGACCTATCACATGTTTACTTGTTTATCCGTCTGTTGGAGCATTTTATTCTGGTGCTTCTATGCGGAAAATATTGATGAGTTGTGAAAGTGCTCAGACAAATAGGTCACAACCACCTTCCACGAATGTTCAACTCACGAACGATCTGCTATTACGTGTCATTTAGCATAGCTTAACAGACTTAGTAGGCCGCCTGAAGGTCAGTTTGTCGTGGTTCGTAAAGGTGAACGTGAATGACACCCCCGAGGCGGTAATAGTGAAACAAACATCGAGTCGATTCTTCAAACAGCATCTTATATGCTGACCGGCACTTTGCGTGGCGTGCCGCTTAGCGCTCAGAATAATTCTAAAAGCAGTCCTGAGTCGAATGGAAACCGCTTGCAAGAACACGCCAAATTGTGATCGATAGTTATTATCCGATCAATAAAATGGAATCAGGTATATATTGGAGACGATACAACGACTAGCACCTCTCATGACTTAAATAATAAAAAACTGCTTGGTTGTGCGGGGTTCCGGTTGAGATCTTCCTTGATGTAGGACTTCCTCAGTAGTCTCATTTCAAAAACTCCACAAAATCTCATGTGATGGTGTACATTTGCTGTCAATGTGTACTTCGTTCGAAAATTACCGTAACTAACTCGTTTGGAACTGTTTGCATAAAATTACACAACACAGCTCCGTTGATTGTTGATTATGACCAGGTCAGCGTTAATGAATGGCACCCACAAGAATAATGGTGCATCCAGCTAACGGTTGCTTCAATGGGGACATCTACGATCAGATCTTGAGTTTGGGTAACTATACAGCGAAGAACCATTAGGTGAAACGGACCTTCAAATTTGACAAAATGAAGTCTCCTTGGTAAGATATTGCGATGATCACTAGCGAAATAAACTTATTTGCATACCAATTTAGTTTTGATGGGAGACTCACCTGGAACCCGGCTGATACTCTCGTTTATGATGTATTACGTCCACAGATTGTGATCACCTTGCTGGCCAGTGAAGGCGAACTCACCTTGTTTAGGAGATGAAGTGATTTGACCTTTTCGGATCGGTCGGCCATAAACTTCGGTGGGAAGGCTCTGCACGCCGGAAGCGTACCCGAAGCACCGCCGTTTTAAGAGCCACTCCCGTGAATGAATTACTACATCCCTGTTATAATTTTCTTAGAGAGCGGGTGTGAAACCACTCGAATTATCAGAGTGTTTTCTTCGGACGTGTATTAACTCAGAATTAAATCGTTACTTGCAAAACATAAGCCGGCTTTTTAGACAGGAGAATATCTCACAACTCACATGAACTTTCTGTCTGAGAAAACTTCTTTTGGGGAGTCAGACAACACCAGGCTGCATAAAGCCAACAGCGTGGCTGAAACGTATCAGCGTCACACCCTAATTCTGCGGGAATCATACTGTTGGTAACTGGCCCCACACTGTGGTCCAGAGGGCTTCGGGTTCAAACCACACTGACTCCCAACAGGAGTGGAAGGGTTTTGGGATGCTAACTACGATTTAGCAAGAATTACGTTCATCTTGAATGGTAAAATTCGGAATTAACGCTTCGAAATTAACTTCAGCTTTTATGAAACAGAATCGAGCAGAGTTACGACGGAAGGAATCTTTCAGTTTATATTTTTCAAATAGACTTCCGAGGTCACCCCAGACCTTGTGTTACTCGGACTAATTTCTCAGCTGACTCGGTGAAGGAAAGCTGATCCTGTCTCTTGTTGGTAGCTTCTATCTCTTCAGAACCGAACAGTATGTTAACCAGAGTTTAAGCATCCAACCTCAAAACACTTGACGCAGACTGAAGGAATTCCACCCTATAGTAGACATCGTTTGTCAAAGTTGATCCTTTCCCACATATAAACAAAACGAATGCTTACTCTCCTCTATTGGGCCACTTGGACGCTTATCACAATCTTGCTCCGTTTCGTGTGACATTCATTCCACAAATTGGTGACTCAGCGACACTCGACGAAGAGGTTAATGTGTGCGCTAGTCTTATTTTCGCTCCAGTAGACTTTAGTCAACTTCCGACGATTCTGTCACTTTTCCGCGTTTTGTTTGTTCACGTGGTGAATAAATGGGTGACAAATGTTCCAGAGCAGAAACTGATGAAAGAAAGCATTCTGACAAGCCACGTATGGTTTCGTAGAACTGGGTGGAGGTGACAGAAATTGGAATTTCTCGGGGCGAATGAACACTACTCAAGTGTTACTCAAACTTGCTGGAGTGAGATTGATTGCGTTCTACAAGTGATTAATCAGGTGTGCTGTTAAAAGAAACCGGGCTAATCGAATTTATTCTGATTCTAATTTGTTTGCCAAGT